TTCCATCTTTTGTCCCGTCGACGCTTCCTTCCATGATTCCATCCTTTGTCCCTTCGACGCTTCCGTCCATGATTCCATCATTCGTCCCATCGGAGACACCTTCAGATGTGCCATCCGATGTGCCATCCGACTCGCCTTCCGACAATCCAAGTTCAAATCCTTCCTCATCACCATCAAAGGTGCCGACAAGTTCTCCTTCCAAGAGTCCAACCCCACAGCCAACCCCACAGCCGACTCCGGCACCAACACGCATCTACATTGGATGCTACATTGACAGCACTATAAATCGCGACATGAATGGCTACTATTGGGTTGACTACAGCAGCATGACTGTAGGTAGATGCCGCGACGAGTGCAAGGCTAGAGGATTTTTATATGCAGGTAAGTGTCTTTGGATTTTGATCCAGAAATTGATGAGAGATTTCTGTCCACTGATTGTTGTTGTTTAGGATTACAAGTACGGGCAGAATGCTGGTGCGATAACACTTTTGGTTCTTATGGAGAGGGAGGGGGTTGCCTGTATGGTTGCGTTGGAGGTGCAGGCAATCCGTGTGGAACGGATTTTCGTAATTCGGTGTATTACACTTAACAAAAAACAAACGAAATCGTTTGGGCATCGGACAAAGAGCGTGCTGCTTGCATTTGGTGCTATTCGCTGATTTCTTGCTTCAAATAAAGTGTCGCAGGCGTTGATTTTGCTCGCTCTCAGCAGTCTCAAATTGAAAATCCATGACCGTTTGATCTGTCCGACCATCCGTTTTGGATTGAAACCTGGACTCGGGATTCACTTTTCTTCTTCGTTCCTATTATATCGGAGTGGTTCTTCGAACATCTCATGTTTTCTTCGTGGTTGGGGCTCACAATTTGAGAAGACTTCACAAAAAGCAGATCAAGTAATCTACAAAAGACCACAACAAATCATCATGCCTTGCAGCCGTCGCCAAGAACAACATCGCGCCTTTAGTTGCCATCCTGCCTGGCGTCAAGCTCACTTACCTGGAAGCCTCTTTGCGGCCATTTTGGAACGCCACCAACACGATGGTGCCCTTCATCCTGTCTGGAGAAACCAGAGCAAGGCTCGTACTTCTTCTGATGAAGATGATGCTCATGTCTTGCGCATGGACGTTCCCGGAGTCAAGGCCGACCGCATCTCTGTTGAAGAAAAGAATGGAGAAATCGAGATTACCGCCCTTCGCATGAATGGAGAAGAAGAAGTGAGCAAGGTCTACCAAGAAGTATTTTACCTCAATCCCTTTCGCTTTGATATTGATCACGCCAAGGCTACTTTGACCAATGGTGTCTTGACCTTGCGCATTCCCAAGAACGAAGGGAGGGTGAAGAAGGTACCCGTGGAAACGGCCTCTGTCCCAAGTGATTTGCCCAGCAACATATTCCAACACACCTTGGACCTTCCTGGAGTGCCTACCAGTACTTTAGAAGTCAATTTGGTCGAGGATCGCGTCCACTTGGTGGGCAAGCGCTCGCTGGGTGACAAACGTGTTTTGGTCCAACGCGGCTTTGAAGTACCACCCAGTATGGACACTGTCCAAGCACGTGCACTTTTGCAAGATGGCGTCTTTACCTTTTTAGCCCCCATTCACGAGGCTGAAGAGGGTCAGTTGCGTACCATTTTTGTGCACCACAAAGACGAGGACGCAGCAATTGAGGTCGATTCGTCTGCTGCCATGGCCGACATGAAGATCACCGATGAGGAGGCCATCACCGACAGCAACACCATCAAGGAAGACGATATGAATGTGGAGACTGTCGACGAAGAAACCGAATCTAAGGAGACTGACTCCTGGGAACAAGTTGCATCCGAAGAAGAAAAGAAGTAAGACAGTGAATTGAATTGAACGTTCAGCCTTCTTTCATCCGAAAGGGAGCATTGTTTTCCCTTAGCCTGCATGTATAACTAAAACTCCTACGCTGACAGAGCTAGAAGCAACAAGATGATAAGAAATTTAATTTTTGTACTGGTCTTTATAGGAAGATATCGTACATCATTGTCTTTCCTACAGTTTCAAGTTGGGTTGGGTTTCTCGTTTGCCACTCGTCAAATTTCCAAACACGAGTGAAAAAACTCGAACATGCGAGAATATAGCGAGCTCCAAACGCGACCTCGTCATGATCCGAATTCGGAAAACATCAATCAATCAGTCAATCAACTTATTGTGTACCGGTACACAAATAGATACCATTCATTTGATCTAACGAACTCTTCATTGCAAGTCCAATAACTTGTACAGGATCCTTCATCAAACAAGACACAAACGGCACTGTAATCATGAAACTCTTATCCGCCTCCGCAGTTGTGACCACCGTCGCCCTCGTCTGTTGGACCGACAGCAAGCTGGATCAATGGGAAGCAAAACAACAAGACATGGCAGTGAATTTGCTTTCTGCTGCAGCAGCTGGAACATCTGCGTACGATCCGTTGCAACAATGGGACGATCTTCCACCAAGTGTCCAACAATATCTGAGTCATGTGGTGCCCATCAGCACCCTAGAACAAACTGCTGCCAAAGCTCTTTCTCTCCATCAAGAAGGAGAATTTCTCATAAAGAAGGATCAATACGTCCCCTTTACTGCTACGGAAGTATTTGCGGTGAGTCCACCAGGATTTTCTTGGGAAGGCAAAATTGCCATGGCGTCGTTTGCCCCATATTGGTTTCCCAAACTTTTTGTCAGCGATTCTTGGGTGGAGGGATCAGGCCACTTCCAGGCCGCGGTTCAAGCCATTTTGCCCATGATTTGCTTGGATACTAGTGGTGCTGGTGGTGGCGAAAGTGTTTCATTTGATGATCAAATGGCTTTGGGACAAGCTACTCGTTGGCTAGCGGATGCCGTCCTACTTCCTTCCAGTCTACATCCGAATGCTGGAATGGCCACGTGGAAGGCCGTCGACGATGATGTACCTGGAAAAGCCATTCTCGAATTGCCCCTTGCCAACATTCGTGGTTTGCAATTGGAAGTCACCTTTGATAATGACTCCGGACTATTGACCGAAGCGACAGCTCAAAAGCCATATTTGCTATCCAACAAGAGCGACTTTGAAATAAAAACGTGGCAGGTGAATTTCATGGACTATGAACGACAAGCGAATGGAATGATGGTTCCAATGAAGATGGAATCGGGATGGATCAATGGCGAAGGAGACTTTGAGGCCCATTACAAGATTGAGAATCGTTCGCTGCAATATCATTTTGGTGCTGCTCAAGAACCAATTGTAGAGATTGCGTAGTAAACCTCATCGAACTTGCTATGCCGAATGATTAGTGTACCAGGCGGTATGGTACGCAGTAATGCAATGTTGAGTTGTGCGCATGAGAAGTTTGCTACTGGAAGTAATAGGGTATGATAAAACTAAAACGAATAACGAATACTTCTATGATGAGAAGATTTTACAAGATTGATAATAATATCTTGTTATTAACCCTTATGTATATCCAGGAATGTCTGGGAGCTTGGGTAAAACCGGGTTTAGCGGGATTATCTCGGTATACCTCGGTCATTCCCGTTTCGACTTCTGAAATTTTGGGGGAAGCCTCTCAGATAAGGCGGAAAGTGTTACATGATCAAATA